CTGCGGAGGAGGAACCACCCGAACCACCTGACAACGATCCTCCCCCGTCCACTTCTCTCATTTCTGAGAAACAGGGCACCACATTACAGAACAACACTACCAATATTTCTCATAAACAGCCCACCCAGCCAATTGTCACCAAAGGGAAGAGTGCTAAGAAGACGGGGTGTTTATGAGGGGAATGCAGAGCAGGTCAAGGTTATCCAGGGAGGATTTGGGTTAAGTGGAATTCCAGGGCTATCTCTTTCCTCCCCTTGCACTCTTCTTCTCAATTAATTCATGGGTTGGTTAGTCACGTGAATTCTCTTAATATGCCACCTTTTATGCTCTCTGTCGTTTATGCTGCTAACTCTCCCTCTGAGAGAGTTTCCCTTTGGCAGCAGCTTATTGGTATTGCCCCCAGTGTTGCTTCCCCCTGGATCATCCTGGGGGATTTCAATTGCTGTAGGTTGGCTGAGGAAAAATCTGGGGGCCATCCCTGAACAATGGGCGTCTTTTAGAGATGAATTCATGGATTTTTAACACGGGTGTGCTTGAACTTCCCTCAACTGGCCTCTTCTTCACTTGGTATAATCAAAGGGTTGATGACCCTATCCACATTAAGTTGGACTGAGCTCTTGTCAATGCTGAATGGTTGGACCACTTTCCTTCCTCTTTCTGCAAAGTTGAACCCCCTTCTTGCTCGGGTCACTCCCCGTTGGTGATCTTGCCTGGAATCTGTCCTAAAGTTAATGCCAGGTTTCAATTCAAGCATTATTTGCTTAATTTGGATGGTTTTTGGGATGGTCTGATCTCAGTTTTTGCTGCTCAGAACTCTGGAAGTCCTATCACAGCTTTTTACTCTAAGCTTCATAATCTTAAAAACTTCATTAAATCTAAGAAGTGGTCTAATTCTTCTTACATTTCGAGTAAAATCAAGGAGCTTTCTTCTGCTCAAGCTCACTATATGGCACTTCTCCAACATTCCCCTCTGGACCAAAACCTCAATGATACTATTCATAACATTAACTCCTCTCTTTCTTGCCTTCATAAGAGTTGGAGTTTTTGGCTGATTCAACGGGCTAAAGCGGATTGGCTTACTAGAGGGGAAGATGATTTGGGCTTCTTATTTGCTAGGATCAAAGCTAGGAAATCTTTTTGCCGTATTAATGAGATTTCTACTATGGATGGGCATTTTTCTGACCCTGGAAGTATTGCCACTGCGGCTGTGGGTTACTTTCAGCAATTGTATAATAATCCCAATGCTCCTTTTCTGGGCAATTCCTCTCTTCCCATTGGACAGACTAATCCTCCTCACTTGGTGGCTTCTCTTACTGCCCCTGTCACTGACTTGGAAATTCAAAATGTGGTTTTTTCGGCTTCTAATTCAAAGGCTCCAGGACCGGATGGGTTCACTTTTGAATTTTATAAGGAATCATGGAACCTTATTGGCAATCAAGTTTGCAAGGCCATTAAACACTTCTTCTCTACTGGATTCCTTCCGAGGTCTGCTAAGGCCACTGCAATTGCTTTAATACCTAAAGGGGGAAGAAGTATTTATGTGCTAAACTTGACATTCGGAAAGCTTTTGATACTGTTTCCTGGGAGTTCCTTCTGTACAGGCTTGCTAAGAAAGGCTTTTCTCCGTTGTTTGTGGATTGGATAAAAGGCTGTATTGAGGATGTTTACTTCTCTGTTGTCATAAATGGGGGTCTAGAGGGGTTTTTTTCCTTCTTCCTCAGGCCTTCGGCAAGGCTGTCCTTTATCCCCCTTACTTTTCTCGGTTGTCATGGATGCTTTCTCTTGTGCGCTCAATGCTAGCAATTTTATTGGGATTTCTTTGGATGGTTTTCTGGTAAACCACCTCCTCTACGCTGATGACATTCTTGTGTTTGGAGAAGCTTCTATTGCTAATGCTACCATCCTTAAAAATGTTTTATCTTCCTTTGCTATGGAGTCTGGGCTAGCTGTTAATAATTCTAAATGCTCTATTTTGTTTTCCAGCCATACTCCTTTAGCTAATGAGATCACCCAGCTGCTTGGCTTCTCCCCCACTGCCAATCCCCTTACTTACTTGGGGCTCCCCATTTCTCCCAAAAAGCTTAAAGCCGCTCACTTCCAACCACTGCTGAGTAGGATTTCTACTCTACTTGATGGTTGGAAAGTAAAATTCTTGTCTTTTGCAGGTAGGATTCAGTTCTTAAAGTTTACTATTATGAACACGATTGCATATTGGATAAGAGGAGCTGTAATACCGAAAGGGATTTGCAAATGCATTGAGAAATTTTGTGCCAGGTTCTTATTTAATGGGTCTCATCAAGGCAAGAAGCTCCATCTCGTGGCTTTGCATAAAACCTGCCTTCCCATGGAGCTGGGAGGGCTCGGGCTTCCTTCTATTGCCTCTCTTACCTTTGCTTTTGGCTGTTCCTTTCTCTGGAGGTTTTATAACACTAACTCTATGGCCACTGGTTGGTTTAGGCACAAATACCTTTCCCCTTGGAAGCCTTTTGGATCCAAGGCTTCTAAATATTGGAAGATCATTTCCCTTACCGCTTATAAGATTAAAGATAAGCTGATTTTTAATGTTACCAGGGAAAATTGTAATCTTTCTATGCTTTGGGATCCCTGGTGTCAAGGTAGTGCTGTGAGAGAGTTTGCTCATCTGGATATGTTAGATGGTCGGGTTTGTGATTTCATCTCGGGAGGCTCCTGGTCTCTCCCTTCTCTTTTGAGCCAAGGGGTTGTGTGTCGAATTTCTATTACACCTATTTTGGATCCCTTGCTCCCCCAAGTATCCTGGATTGGCTCTGTTAACCCGACCTTTAAAACCTTCCACAAGCAGTTTTTTAATGAGTATAATGAAGTTCTCTGGTTTAAATTCATTTGGCACAAACATTACGCACTGAGGTTTTCTTCCTATACCTGGCTTGCTCTGGTTGATGGGCTTAAAATGGCGGATGTGCTTGCTAAAATGAACATTTTCATTCCTTCCTTATGCTCTTTTTGCAAGAATGAGGATGAATCGGTGTCACACTGTTTTTTTCAATGTGACTTCACTTTTGCGCTTCTCTCTGCTCTCATTCCTTCCCTTTGCTCTTTTTTGCTTCACCCCACGATATATCAGGTGTTTGAATTTTTGGATAATTTGCAAAACATGAAAAGTTTTGAAAATTTTTTTTGCTACTTTGTTATTTGCTATTCTCTCTATCATCTATGGAGAGAACGTAACGAGAGGAGATTTGGGCACACTGGAAATTCTATAGATGCTTTGCTCAAGAAAATTTGTCATGCCATTGGTGCTAGAACTGAAAGCTGGAAACAGATTGATCGGATTAAGCAGTCATTCCCCTTCTGCTTTTTGGAACTCTGATTTGCTGTGGCCTTTTTGGAAATTCTGTCTGATGGAATTTTTGGTGGAGATTTTGGTACTCCACAACCGGACGATGATGAGTAAAACTAACATTTATCAGGGTATTGGTCTCTCCCCTTGGATGGCTCGCTGGGAGCTGTGGAGCAGTTTGGATGGGGGGTTACATTTTGGCACTCTTGTTTTTAGCAGCCGGGCTTCTCTGTTTTTTATGGAAGATGTGGTCGTTTTTTGGGTGTTCTTGGATTCGCATTCTTCTGGTGGGCAACCAGGGGAGAGTGGATTTCGTGGAACTTGATTTGATTAAGCTCTATGCTTATTTCGTTAGTTCTGTATACCTGAGTCCGGTTATTTTGTTCTCCTCTTCTCTATCGTTGTACTTTTTAGGTGCATTCTTTTTGTCCCCTTGTATTGGGGTTTGGTTATTTTTGTAATGGTTAGTTTTTAATATACGGTCAAATGCCTAAAATTCCCCCCCAAAAAAAAAAAAAAAATACATCAAATGAAACTAAGTTGGATCAAATCGAGTTGACTCGACTTGAATCGAGTCAAATCTATTCCAAATAGAACTCAAATTGGCTAATCCGATTCAGTTTTCTTCAAAATTGGGCTGCCATTTTGGCTCTTTATAGAAGTCTTTCCAAGTCGGGCACGATCGAGTGGCTGAAATCGCCAGGAAAGTGAAACGAGCCGCAGGCTACTGTGCTCTCCTCCTCTTGCCGCATCTTGGGACCTTCAGGGTATCGCATTTGGACGGCAAGGCTGGGGAATACGCACCAGCGACCAGGAAAAGCTGAGGTAGCTCTTCTTCTTCCTCTTATTGTGTTCGGTGCTTTCCCAACAGAACCAAGTGGGACGGGGAAAAAAATCCCTAGCGTTGTTCGGCTGAGAGAAGAAGGAGCTTTCATTGCTCTCGGCTGGAGAAAGAAAGAAACGGGCACGGGCTGTTGGTGAGCAGAGGTAATAGCTTTGACCTTATTCCTTTTTCAGAAACTCTCTTTTCTTGTTCATATCCTCATCGCACAAGAGGAGTCGCCGTCCCAGCACTTCGAACACATTTCGAAGCCTCAGCGTTTCTTGACCCTACAATTGCCTAACACTTGGCAGCTCATCGGATGGCAGTTCTTGCTGTCGACTGCACTTCCGCTTGTACATTCTTCATTGCTCGGCCACCGAGACTTCCTCTTATTCCTATTCAAACATCAACTTGGACGAGTAGGTGTTGGTGACGTCCGGGACATGATTTCATTCTAAAAAAAATAAAAATAAAAAAACATAAAAAACAATTTTTTTTTTTTTTTTTTTTACTTTTTTTGGTGAAGGTATCTTGAAAGAATAGAGTCATCCTAAGGCTTTTTACAAGAAAGCAAGATTTTTTTTTTTTTTTTGCTGACATGAATATGACATCTATTTAGTGGCCGGCGTAAAGGAGAAATTATTCTACGGGGACGTATCACGAGCCCAATGAAAATGCGTCACATCACCCCCTACTCAGTACCATGGCTCGTTACTGCTTGGCTCGGTACGCATGACGTGGTTGCACCTGATTCATCTCTGAACTGTAAGTTGTGTCCTGTGTCAGCACAGAATAATCTGTCGGCCTAAAGAGTATCGTTAAAGGATTAAGTCAATTTACAATATGTTGTGCTTGGCCATGATTCTCCTTTCTCCATCTATATGCTTATATAATCTCTCATACTACTTCACTTCTCCAGTTAACATAGAAACACATGGATCTCACACTTTGGCTCAGATTTTATGCTTCATTCCTTTTAATTATCTTCTTCCCACGAAATCTTGCAGTATCATCAACTTATAGCTCAGGAGATGCAGTTGCTCTCTTATCTTTCAAATCTCTCATCACATATGATCCAGATGGAGCACTTGCCTCTTGGGGAAATAACTCTCTTCACTTCTGCAATTGGCTAGGTGTGACTTGCAGTAATGAAAGTGGTAATGAACCCAGGGTCGCAGCCTTAGAACTCATAGGCATTGATTTGGCTGGCTCAATATCTCCCTCTCTGGGAAACCTCTCCTTCCTCCACAAGCTTCACATCTCCAAAACTCAAATATATGGATCCATTCCACATGAGCTTGGCTCTCTTTCTAATCTTCAGTTTCTTAATCTAAGCCATAATTCATTTTCAGGTAAGATTCCTCACACTCTTTCCCAATGCTCTCTTTTGGAAATTATTAGTTTAAAGTCCAATATGCTTGATGGTGAGATCCCCTCAAATCTTAGCCTTTGCACTATGCTTCAAGTCATTAATGTCAGTTCAAATAAACTTACTGGCACAATACCTGCTAGTTTTGGAGCTTTAAAAGGTTTAGAAGATCTGTTGCTTCATGACAACATGTTGGTAGCCAATACGGAGGGAGATTGGAATTTTCTCACTGCTTTGACAAACTGTAGTAATTTAACATTTCTTGGATTGGGAAATAATAGATTGACAGGCCAGCTTCCTATCTCAGTCACAAATCTTTCAGTGAATCTTAAATATTTAGATATGGCGAAAAACCAAATTTATGGAGGCATTCCTTTTGGAATTGAGAAGTTGGTCAATTTTCAACTACTTTCCTTGAGAAACAATCATTTCAGTGGTGTTATTCCTCCATTTATTGGAGTTCTTAGTTTAGAAATGTTTGATGTGAGAAAGAATCAATTTTATGGAGCAATTCCACCTTCCTTTTGCAACCTCACATCTCTTTTATATCTACATATAGCTACCAACAACCTTGAAGGTGGTGTTTTACCATGCCTTGGCAACCTCACCTCTCTAATTGAATTAGACTTGAGTCAAATTAATGTTACAGGAGAGATTCCCTCTTCTTTAGGACATCTATTGAAACTTGAACTATTTTCTCTCAGTTTTAATAACTTGTATGGAAACATACCACCATCTTTAGGAAATCTACAATTCTTAGTTGAATTAGATCTAGTGAATAATATGCTTAGTGGATTTATCCCAGATTCTCTTTGGAACCTCACCTCTCTCGAATACTTGGGCATAGATAATAACAATTTAATTGGTATTTTACCAATGAAAACTCTTCCTTCTCTTAAATATCTTGGCCTTGCATATAACAACCTTCATGGGCCCATTACAACCTTCTTGTTCAACTCTTCTGGAATAGAATTACTTGAACTTTCTAAAAATTTATTTAATGGACCCATACATATTAATATAGGGAATTTAAAAAATCTATCCAAAGTACTATTGGCTGGAAATTTCTTGAAAGCAAGAGACATCAAAGAATGTTCCTTCATTACAACACTAACCAACTGTACTAATTTGACGGAACTAGATTTAGAGTCGAATGAATTAGAAGGAATATTACCTCAATCAATAGTAAATCTATCTACAACATTATCAATTTTCAGATTAGACTGGAACAAAATATCTGGAAACATACCTATAGATATAGGAAATCTCATTTGTCTTAACTTGTTAAACCTAGGAAAAAATAATCTCTCGGGCACCATTCCCGTGGGGATTGAAAAGTTGAACTCATTACAAGGATTAGATTTACATGGTAATAGACTTTCAGGTGAAATTCCATACAACATTGGCAACCTTTCAATGCTAAATAATCTTTTTTTAGATCACAATGATTTAAGTGGGCATATTCCTTCTAATCTTGGAAGTTGTAAGCAACTAACGCAATTGGGCCTTCAATTCAACAAGTTCATGGGCACCATACCAAAAGAAATCTTTAACATCCCTTCTCTATCCATCGGTATTGACTTATCAAATAACTTGTTGACTGGATTGCTCTCTATCGATGTTGGCCTCTTAGTAAATCTTGTATTTATTGTTTTGTCGAACAACAAATTATCAGGCCAAATTCCAAGCCAGCTTGCTCAATGTGTGCAACTCAAATATCTTTTCATAGACAACAACTTATTTCAAGGGAACATTCCATCATCTCTTGGATCATTAAAAAGCCTTGAGTTGTTCAATCTTTCATATAACAATTTATCTGGAAAAATACTCAAATTCTCAGAATCCCTTAAATATTTGGACCTCTCTTACAATAAGCTTGAAGGAGAAGTTCCACAAAATGGTATTTTTTTGAATATAAGTGCATTTTCAGTGTATGGAAATGACAAACTTTGTGGAGGTATTGTTGAATTAAAGCTACCACCATGCCTTCAGAATGATAAAGCCTCGAGGAAGAATCACACTTTAACTCTGCTACTTGCAACGGTCATCCCAATAACTTGTATCATTCTATTATTTATCCTTTCAACATGGAGAAGAAGAAAGTCTAAAAAGCTTCCTTCGATAGAGAGAGTTGAGAAAGATCAGAATCATGTACAAGTTTCTTATGCTGAGCTTCAAAGAGCGACTAATGGGTTCTCATCACATAATTTAATTGGAAGAGGAAGTTTTGGTTCTGTCTACATTGGAAATTTAGATCACAATTGGCAAAAAAGCATCGCTATAAAGGTTCTCAATCTCCAAAAAAGAGGAGCCTCTAAAAGCTTTGAATTGGAATGCAAAGCATTGAGAAGTGTTCGACATAGAAATCTTGTAGGGATATTAACTTCATGCTCGAGTATTAACCATGAAGGCAATGATTTCAAAGCCTTGGTTTTTGAGTACATGTCAAATGGCAATTTGGATAAATGGTTGCATCAACCATCAATATTTGACAATGATAGTCCTAAAAAATTAACCATAATCCAAATATTAAATATAATTATTGATGTAGCTTCTGCTGTCGACTATCTTCATAATCATGGACCTATACCAATTGTTCATTGTGATCTCAAGCCAAGTAATGTTCTCCTTGATGAAGACATGGTTGCACATGTAAGTGACTTCGGTTTAGCAAGGCTCCTTATTGATACTACAAAACAATTCTCCCAAGCTTCTACTAGCTCTATTGCATTGAAAGGAACCATCGGATATGCAGCCCTAGGTATCTATCTTCATGCACTTGGTAAAATAATTTTTATACCTTGTATTTCTTATTTTCTCTAACATGTTATTACAATTAGAATATGGGGCGGCCAACCACATTTCTATTGAAGGAGATGTGTATAGCTTTGGAATAATTCTACTGGAGTTGTTTACTGGAAGGAGACCAATTGATGAAACATTCAATGAAGGTCTCACCCTTCATCTATTTGTCAAGGCTTCCCTACCTGAAAGGGCAATGGATATTGTGGATCCTTATTTGATTTTACAGGAGGAAGATGATGAAGTTGGGGAAGGCCTTCGGCACATGAGAGTTGTAAGCAAGTCTGAATTGGATTGCATTGTCTCAGTGCTTAAAGTTGGACTTCATTGCTCAGAGGAATCTCCAACAAAAAGAATACAAATAGCTCAAGCTTTTAATGAATTATATGCGATCAGAAACATCTTCCTCAAGTCTTCAAATGGCAGAACAACACATCTTTAGCTCATTAGTTATGAAATTAAGCTAACTATTTTTCTCACCTTTTTTTTGCATAAGTTTCTTTAGTAATGTATTTCGTTGAAATAATTTGCTTAACATCTGAATTAATAAATCTTTCTCGAAGATTTTGGACCAAAGAGGGATTTCTTCTAATATTGCTTAAATCACCATATTCGATAGAAATGTTAAAAATTCATATTACACATCTACATGCTCATAGCAATAGAGGTAAAAGGGCAGGAAGCTCTCATTCCCATTGAAAAAAAAAAAAAAAAATTATAGCTTTTTGGTGAGTAGATTGAGCAAGCTTAAAAAAAATATAGCTTGACAAACTTTCAGCTTATATTGAATCAACTTTTGAGATCAGATTGTATTTCCCAAATTATCTATGACAAAAAATACAGAAAAGAAAATAAATTATTTTAATGAAGTACCATAATGAGAGTCAAATATGGCTTTTGTGCAGTCATATCATTATTGTTATCAAGTTAAATCAACTAAACTTTAAGTAACTTGGTTCAATTTGGCTCAAAATTGAATTTTAATTAATTCTTTGAATAAATATAGATACTATACTAGGAATTATACACATTTTAAATATACATTTTATATTTTTTATAAATACTCATTTATAGTGAGATTTTGAGTAGAAAAACATTATATTTAAGCCAACCGAAGCAAACTCAAAATCAATTTCGACTATGGAGTGGTGTTCAAAATTGGTCACGTCAATTTCCAATTGAGCCAATTTCTAAGCAATAATGTAAGGGAGTTTCAAAGTGCGAGCTTTTTAAGCAGCTTTATGTTTCGTTTGGGACGGCTTTCTTACTGCTTCTTAAAGCAGTTTTTTTAGTACAAAAATTAAATTTTTTGCATTAAAAAGTTGCTTTAAAAAGTAGAAAAAAATTGTTTCAAACCAAGCCTTTATCTCATGTAAGAATTTTCTTGAAGTTTGTTAGACAAAATAATAAATTTCAATTTTCAAGTCAACCTCATCTTCCTCCTTTTTCTTATATTTTTCTTTTTTCTTGGATCACACATTCTAGATCTTGTTCACTGATGTTGGGGCAGATTTCTTACTGCAAAAAATGCTTGCTGCTTCTTTTCCTAGCAAGCTCTGCATCAGATCAGAATACATCAAAGCCTTCTTTGATATGATTTTGCGGCAAATATTTGGAGCATAATGTGATTTCTTGTTCATATACATTCCTACATCATTTCTCTTGCAATACTTCCTCTTTTTTGAGAAGGTCTTCAATGCAGATTTTCCTTTTGAAAAATTGGGATGGCCCTCTCCTGCAAAGATCAGAACTTGGCTTAAGTTAACTATAATCTTAGAAGCTTAGGTACAAAATTTTGTTATGCTTTCTTCATCATTACAATTTTTAATGGAAAATTTAGTTTACTGTTATAAGGAGAAAAAATTGATTACAAGTGATCTTAAAGTTAGTTTTGATATGAATATAATATATGAATAATCAATCAAATTTTAAATATATTCTGATTAAATCGATTGACAAACTTAAAAAACTAAGATAATTTTCTTGACGGGAAAATCAAGGAAATGATCAGAAGAAGAATTTGAATTTTGAAGAAGAGAAAGCTTCGTCGACCGTAAAATCGGTTGATGAAGAAACTATAGAACCATTAGATAATTCATCAAAAATATTGCATGCATCCCAAAGCATACTCAAGAATTTTGGCTCTCATTCTGATCGAAATTTTGATCATAATGTTTAGACAAATTGTTTTCCATATAAATATTAAAAAAAATATTAGTTAAGCTCAAGTTGGTACTATGACATGTTTCTAAATTATTCAACAATATTCTCATTAGAGCTTTCTCTGGCATGAATCTTAATGGAACAAACACAACAACCAAAAATATTTTTAGAATCTAGAAAGTGTGTTAATTAGTTAATTTACATGAAATAAAATATTGATCAAGACAATTCAATTTTTGTAAACGTCAGATGGAGCACTACCCTCTTGGGGAAATAACTCTCTCCACTTTTGCAATTGGCTAGGTGTGACTTGCAGTAATCAAAGTGGTAATGAACTCAGGGTCACAGCCTTAGAACTCATAAGCATTGATTTGGCTGGCTCAATATCTCCCTCTTTGGGAAACCTCTCCTTCCTCTAGAAGCTTCACATCTCCAAAACTTAAATCTTTGGATCCATTCCACATGAGCTTGTCTATCTTTCTAACCTTAAGTTACTTCTTTTAAGCCACAATTCACTTGCAGGTGAGATTCCTCATACTCTTTCCCAGTGCTCACTTTTGGAAGTTATTAGTTTAAATTCAAATATGCTTGATGGTGAGATCCCCTCAAATCTTAGCCTATGCACTATGCTTAAAGCCATTGATTTCAATTCAAACAATCTTACTAGCATAATACCTGCAAGTTTTGGAGCTTTAAAAGATTTAAAAGTGTTGATGATCATAGCAACATGTTGGTAGCCATGGAGGAGGGAGATTGGAATTTTCTCACTGCTTTGACAAACTGTGGTTATTTAAAAATTCTTGGTCTGGGAATGAATATCTTGACAGGCCAGCTTCCTATCACAATCACCAATCTTTCTGTGCATCTTAAATATTTAGATATGGCAGAAAACTAAATTTATGGAGCCATTCCTTTTGGAATTAAGAAGTTGGTCAATTTGCAAGTACCTTCATTGGGAATCAATCATTTCAGTGGTGTTATTCCTCCATCTATTGGAGAACTTCTCAGGTTAAACATATTTTATATTGAAAAAACCAAATTTTTGGAGCAATTCCACCTTCATTCTGCAACCTCACGTCTCTTTCAGAGCTATATATAGGTATCAACATCCTTGAAGGTGGTATTTTACCATGCCTTGGCAACCTCACCTCTCTCACTGTATTAGATTTGAGTCAAATTAATATCACAGGAGAGATTCCCTCTTCTTTAAGATATCTATTGAAACTTAATAAATTATCTCTCAATTTTAATAACTTGTATGGAAACATACCACCATCTTTAGGAAATCTACGATTCTTAGATATACTAAATCTAGGGTATAATATGCTTAGTGGATTTATCCTAGATTCTCTTTGGAACCTCACCTCTCTCATAGATTTGGGCATAGAAAATAACAATTTAATTGGCGTTTTACCAATGAAAACTCTTCATTCTCTTGAATATCTTCGCCTTTCAAATAACAAGCTTCATGGGCCTATTACAACCTTCTTGTTCAACTCTTCTGGAATAGAATTACTTCAACTTTCTCAAAATTTATTTGTTGGACCCATACATATTTATATAGGGAATTTAAAAAATCTATCCAATGTATTATTCACTGAAAATTTCTTGCAAGCAAGAGACATCAAAGAATGGTCCTTCATTACAGCACTAACCAATTGTACTAATTTGAAGATACTAGAGCTATTTTCTAATGAATTAGAAGGAATCTTACCTCAATCAATAGTAAATCTATCTACAACATTGTCATATTTAGGATTAAACAAGAACAAAATATATGGAAACATACCCATAGGTCTTAGCTTATTAAACCTAGGAAAAAATAATCTCTTAGGTACCATTCCTGTGGGGATTGAAAAGTTGAACTCATTAGAAGTATTAGATTTACATGGTAATAGACTTTCAGGTGAAATTCCATACAAGATTGGCAACCTTTCAAAACTAACTAATTTTTTTTTAGATCACAATGATTTTAGTGGGCATATTCCTTCTAATCTTGGAAGTTGTAAACAACTAATGCTATTGTGCCTTCAATTCAACAAGTTCATGGGTACAATACCAAAAGAAATCTTTAGCTTCACTTCTCTATCCCTTAGTATTAACTTGTCAAACAACTTGTTGACTGGATTGCTCTCTATCGATGTTAGCCTCTTAGTAAATCTTGAATATCTTGCTTTATCGAGTAACAAATTATCAGGCCAAATTCCGAGCAATCTTGCTCAATGTGTGCAACTCAAATATCTTTTCATAGACAACAACTTATTTCAAGGGAACATTCCATCATCTCCTGGATCATTAAAAAGCCTCAAGTTCTTTAATCTTTCGTATAACAATCTATCTGTAAAAATACCCAAATTCTCAGAATATCTTCAATATTTAGACCTCTCTTACAATCAGCTTGAAGGAGAAGTTCCACAAAATGGTATTTTTTTTTATCAGAAGTGCATTTTCAGTGTATGGAAATGACAAACTTTATGGAGGTATTGTTAAATTAAAGCTACCACCATGCCTTATGAATAATAAAGCTTCGAGGAAGAAGCACACTTTAACTGTGCTACTAGCAACGATCATCCCAATAACAGGTATCATTCTATTATTTGTCCTTTCAACATGGAGGAGAAGAAAGTCAAAAAAGATTCCTTCGATTGAGAGACTTGAGAAAGATCAGAGTCATGTACAAGTTTCTTATGTTGAGCTTCGAAGAGCAACTAATGGGTTCTCATCACACAATTTAATTGGGAGAGGAAGTTTTGGTTCTGTCTACATTGAAAATTTGGGACCCCAATTGGCAAAAAAGCATCGCTATAAAGGTTCTCAATCTCCAACAAACAGGATCCTCTAAAAGCTTTGAATTGGAATGCAAAGCATTGAGACATGTTCGACATAGAAATCTTGTAAGGATATTAACTTCATGCTCGAGTATTAACCATGAAGGCAGTGATTTCAAAGCCTTGGTTTTTGAGTACATGTCAAATGGCAATTTGGATTAATGGTTGCATCAACCATCAATATTTGACAATGCTATACCAAAAAAACTAACAATAACCCAAAGAATGAATACAATTATTGATGTATCTTCTACTGTATACTATCTTCATAATTATGGACCTATACCAATCGTTCATTGTGATCTCAAGCCAAGTAATGTTCTCTTTGATGAAGACATGGTTGCACATGTAAGTGACTTTGGTTTAGCAAGGCTCCTTATTGATACTACAAAACAATCCTCCCAAACTTCTACTAGCTCTATTGCAATCAAAGGAACCATCGGATATGCAACATCAAGTATCTATCTTCATGCACTTGGTAAAACAATTTTTATACCTTGCATTAATTATTTTCTCTAACATGTGAATATAACTAGAATATGGAGCGGACAACCACATTTCTATTGAAGGAGACCAATTGATGAAACTTTCAATGAATTAGGTCTCACCCTACCTTAAAGGGCAATGGATATTGTGGATCCTTATTTGCTTTTAAGGAGGAAGATGATGAAGTTGGGGATGGCCTTCGGCACATGAGAGTTGTAAGCAAGTTTGAATTGGATTGCATTGTCTCAGTGCTTAAAGTTGGACTTCATTGCTCAGAGGAATCTCCAACATAAAGAATATAAATAGCACAAGCTTTTAATGAATAATATTAGATCAGAAACATCTTCCTCAAGTCTTCAAACGACAAAACAACACATCTTTGGCCTATTAATTATGAAATTGAGTAACTTATTAGTCTCTTGTTTTTCATATGACATTATGACAATGTATTTAGTTGAATTTTTTTTTAACATCTCTCTAGTTGAAAATTTTGGATGGTTTTGTATTCTTTGCAGAGTAGAAAACATCTTTTTCCATAAAATTAAAAACCTCATCTTACAAAAATTGAGTAACTTATTAGTCTCTTGCTTTTCATAAGAATCAAAATATCTAATTTTTTTTAACATCTCTTTTGTTGAAAATTAGATATTTTGATTCTTATTCGACTCTTATAAAATCATTTTGAGTTAAACCTACAATTTATTCGAGCGAGCTGAATAAACTCGAAATCAATTTATAATATGGAGTGGTACTCAAAATCAGCACAAAATTAACTTCTAGTATGGAGTGGTGCTAGAAATCAGGTTGAAATCAATTTCTAGTGTGGAGCGGTGCTTGAAATCAGCTCAAAGATTTCAAGTTGAGCCCATTTCAAGCAATATTTCTAGCGATAAAGCTTTGAGCTTTTTAAGAAGTCATAATCTCATTTGAAGAATTTCATCCGAAACTCATCATACAAAAAATAAATTACAAGTCAACTACATCACCCTCCTTTTCTCTCTCTTTTTCATTTTTTGTAAATCAATCATTCTACATATTTTTCCATGAAATTGGAGCATATTTCTTACATAAAAAAAGATTACAACTTCTGTTCATTGCAAACACTGGATCAGAAGAATACATCAAAGGTTTCTTTGATATGATTCTACTGCAAATATTTGGAGCATAATATGATTTCTGATTCATATGCATTCCTTCAGCATTTCTCTTGAAATACTTACTCCTCTTGCTATAAAGTTTGTTCTTTTTGGCAAGGTCTTCAATGTAGCTAACCTCAGATAAACAACTGAATGACTCTGATTTTCCTTGAAAGAATTGGGATAGCCCTCTTCTGCAAAGATCAGAACTTGCCTTAAGCTACTATAAATATCCCTAATGTGCAAAGTAAGATCCCTTATGTGCATAAATTTGTGATTCTTTCTTTGTTTTTATTATTTTTTTTAGCAAAATTTGAGGTCTAGATCACTATTACAATGGAAAAAATTATAAGAATACTCACTTGATAGGAAGATTTGCCATGGGCAATGACAAATCAAGGAGATGATCAGAAGAAGAAGGATAATTTGAAGAAGAATAAGAAGAAGAGGAAGAAGCATCGTCCTCCATGAGATCTGTCGTCGAAGCAAACAGTGAATCATGAGATTCTTCATCTGAAATGAATCCTAAATCCAAGAACTTGCAGTCACCAAAATCCTCTCTTCTAGCCATTGGGAAGCCACAAAAAAAGGAAGAATAAGTTTCTGATGAACAATTGTAGCTTATTGCTTTCTTCATGTTGCTTTAAATAGGAAACATAAATTATTTATTTTTTTGACTCTTGGATGGTACTGTCTCTCCTCCTTATTCTAATAAACATTTAAAGTTATCTTTTTTTATTTATTGATGAGAATGCTATCCCATCTTGCCATAGGATAAGGGGCAAACTTTTATTTTAGTTGATCCACATCTAATCACCACTTTTGGGCATTAATTACTTTGATTTTTGTGTTTTTCTGCTATTATATAAATATAAAATATATATATTCGGAGCAATAAAAGAGCTTTGTTAATTATTTTAGTTTATTTATTAATATATAGAAAATGCATTAATTAATTTATCTAAAAAAAAAAAAAAAAAGTTTGGTCAACACCATTCAATTTTTGTTTGACAGATTAGGAGAAGGAGAGAAATATTTAGCTTGCTGCAGCTGTGGCAAATAAGGTTGAAAGAGACCAGCCTTATCTCTAAACTTGTTGGATGAGATGGAATAAGGTTGGGAATCAAATATGGATTCCACTGCAATTTTTGGATTTTTGTTCCGTTTTGTTGGATTCTCATTTCCTTAAAAAAAAAAAAGAGCAAAGCAGAAGTTCATACGCCAAAAAGAAAATAAAAACTCGTTGCAAACAATTATTTATCTTGAATATCTACTTGTTGTCACCCTCAAAAAAGGTACATAGTGGAATAACCAATATCTCGATGGGCCTATCATCAACCTACTCCACAGGTGTCAGACCACACAAACGTTTTCTTTAAGATATTAGATATGATACTTATCTCAATGCAAATATGATAACTTTGAAATTCATCTTGATGTGTTTTGCATTAAGGATATTATGATATAATTTTTTTTTTCTATTTTAGATTCAAAGCTATTTGCTGACCCAACTCGAATCAAATTGGTAACATTATGAGTTGGGTTTGGGCAAAAGTATCCCTATTTGATCAAATCTTAAAAAAATTGTCATGTGATCAATAATTTGATTGGTAGCATTATGAATGCATTGTATTTCATTTTCTTTTTTGTGTTCTATTTAAAGCAAAACAAATATTTGAAAATTTCAAATGATCTGAAATTGCTCCGAATCTCTTATTTTTCAAATATTTGAAAATCCCTAAATCAATTCATCTTCAAATCTTATATTTGCGACCTTCTTGCTTGCCATCTCCTCACTAGCATCCATAAACCGCCCATTTGTATTCATCACCCCTTACACAGCAATATGTCCCCTATTTGCATCCCTTGATGGTATCGCTCATACACATTTCTAGCCCATTGCATTCATCGTCATCAGTCTTGAAAGAAAAAATTATTTTGTATGGATCCCGAACGACATCCAGAGACCAATCAGAATATGCCACATCACTTTTTTTGCTCGGTATCGGGTGATGTGGCGCATTCTGGTTGGTCTCTAAACCGTCCGTTATCTGCACAGAATAATTTCTCCACCTAAATCATTGAAAGTTACAACTAAATGTACGAGCTTGTGCGCACGAGAGAGAGAGTCAGGAGATAACATGAAATTTACAATAACAAATAAAAAAATTAACACATTTGATTTACATGCAGCCAAGCTGCTTCAATTACTCTATATTTCTGCTTCTGCTGCTATTTCATTAGCAGAAATTTCATTTCTAACTTGATTCAACAAGCAATTTAGAACAAAAACAAAATGTAAATAAACTCGGAAGGGCTGAAACCATTAAACATCAAAATTCGTGCTCCAAGAGTTTCATCTTTGAGTTGGTGCTGCTTCATGTCAAGAACTCTTGTCATACTTGCCAATTGTGTTTCCTCTTGCATGTTTCAGGATGGTTTTATCAGCAGTGATGAAGAAAGCAGAAATTGCAGCTGAAATATGAAAGATTTGGTTTCAGTTCAAAATATTATATGCAAAACAGACTTGCCATGTCAACTTGACAAGAGAGATGAAAGATTCAACTTTTTTTACACTTGTTATGATACTACTCTACATATAATGCACCTAGCTTGATATTGCTTTTGCAGTAATTCTCATAAATAAATTCCTTCAAAAACTAAAAGAATCTCAATTTCAAGTTGCTTGTAAAGTTCTCACGTAGTTTACATTAAGGCTTCGTTTGGTTATCCTATATCATTTCTAAAAGTCAGTTTTAAAACAATTGTTTGAGAAACGGGGTTTTTAAACGGAGAAATAAATACCCTAAAGCTTTTTAAAACAATACAAAAATACAGTTCCCCAAAAAGTATTTATGCAAAAGTGTCACAAACAAACAAAAAAAAAAATTCCTCCATTTCCAAACGGAAAAGGCAAAAAAACGCTCAAAAAAACAAAACCTAAATCTCGAAAAATGGATTCTCTAAAAAAGCTACGATACCAAACAACTTGAAGGTCATGCTGATGCTGATTGTTGACTATAAGGGAATAAGGGATTACGAGTTCATAGGAGATTCACTTCATAATATTATACAATTATAGGAAAAAATCCTATAATACGAAGGAGCAAGAAAAAACATTTTTTTCAAGATCCAATGGGAATCTAAATTCAGAGTAATTGCTAAAGGTATTTTCAAACTTCTATAGATTAAAATCAATTTAGCCGATTATGATGGGGGAAACAAACCTGAAATATATCAGGAACATAGGAAACTATGAACAAACAAATGCACATCATCACGGCATTGAAATACAAGTGAAAACAAGCATTCAATTATTTAAAGAAACATTGAAAGTGTTTGGTAATTGCAAACCAAACTGCTGGAATTAAAATAGAATACTCCAATCTCGTGTTAAGAAAATAAAGATACTCAATTCTGACCAGGCAAGGCACATCAAAGCTACCATTACTTCTGTGAAATTAATGGAGCATTCAAATAAATTAAAATATGTTACCTGTTGATATGCTTAGAGCTTGTGCAGTATAATTCAAATTTGCTTTCGCCCAGGGAATGACTCGACAACCAACCAGCTGCAACACAAATATTATGAAGGAAAATGCATTATGAACATTAATATGATCATAAAAAAATAAACCAAGTCCTTCAGATACACAATACTTAGAGACAGAAGGAGAATTCACATAAAATAATTTGTCTAAACAAAGTGCATCTTTGCATCTCTAAAAAATTGATATTTTTATATTGAAGAAACATAGTGTAAGCATACCGTGGGAACTGCAACTACTGAGCCTGCAATAATGGCCATTTTGAGACCTCTTTGAACTGCATCTGAAAAAAGAAGCCAGCAGTGCATACAAATTTTGTATGAATATCAGAAAATAAGAATTAATGGAAGTAGACACATATGTTGATGCATAGAAATTCATACAAAATAGTTGAGGACTAATTTAATTGCCATTAGATAAAAAAGAAAACTAAAAAACAATTTCGTTTTCATTCATTATGCATGTGAAAATGTTGCTAGACTATGATCCACCAACTATATCGGATTATGAATCTCCGACCACTGTCGCCTAACTGTGATCCTTCGACCCATGTCACCCAATTTTGATTCTCTGACTATTGCCATATGACTATAATCATCTGATCACCATCATCCGACTATTATCATTAGACCACCTTCACCTGATCATAATCTTTCGACCACCGTCACCCAATTATAATCCTATGACCACCCTCACCCAATTATGATACTTCAACCATCTTTTCCCGACTATGATCTTTAGATCAGCATCACTCCTAATTGCTCGAAGTTGGTCTTTTGAACATTGTCGCCTAACTACAATCATCCAACCCTCGTCACTCGATCATGGTTATCCGATCATTGTAGCCAGACCATGGTACTCCGACCACCATCGTTCGACGACGATCCTCCGACCACCATCGCCCAATTATGATCATTTATCTACATCACCCGAGTTATGTACTTCAAACACCATTGTATGGCTTCGATCCTCCAACAATTGTCACCCAACTTCAGTCCTACGCCCACCGTCACCCAACATACATCTTTAAACACTGGCGCCTAACTACAATCCTTCGACCATCATCATTTCTAAGCCTTTTTTCCCGGCTACGACCCTTTAATCACTATTCCTTGATTATGGTCCTTCGATCACCATCGCTCAAATATGACTCTTTGACTTAATAAGGTTCTCTGACTTAGTCATTCACCGTCATAAAAAATATCAATGCACATCATCACTTATAAGACGGATGAATATTGTCAGCACCAACTCTAACTCCTGACATCAACAATAGGATTTATTTTGGACTTCTTGGTTTTGATCCCCCTCCTCAAAGGATATTGAGAAAACAAAAATAAGTGATGTCTTGAAAATATCTCTCATAGTCCCATACCATAGGGCTCTTCCAATCTCCACCACGAAATTTATCCTATATAGTTTCTATTGACTATATTACATCACCTTCCTCAATCACAAAGAAGGACATCATTCATAACAAATGAAAAACATTAGTGGAATCAATTCACTTGGATCAGACTCCATTCTTTTCTAGATTTTTCAATTGAGAACTTTGGTTTCATTTGCAACTCCTTTTTATTAGTATGTGTACTAGATCCTCATACAAAATTAAGATGCTAAACTCTTTAACTCTACCATGCAAATGTTCTTCCATTAAATAAAACTTATAAAAAATAAAAAATTGCATCTCAGATCAGCTACTAACATAGGAAATGAAGAATTGTCAAATAGATTCTTATAACAGTGCATAGACCTCTACAATCATCTAAATTTCATACAGAATTAATACTAGAGCCATTATTTGAAATCAAAATTAATAAATAAGAACACAAAATCAATTCCAAGATCCAACAAGACGGCAACTTTCTATGAGAAAGCAATAAGTACGTAAAAATCGAACCTTGGGTTGGGGATGTTTTGCTATCTATAACCCTGGGCTCATTGGGAGAAGATGCCATCATGAAAGTTGATCCCTTGTTTGCCCTAAAGCCCACCACATCAGAAGGAACACCCATCTCAATCAAATCTGTCCGAGTTTGGGGCCAATTTCTCTACTCCTTCGATCGCTGTAGATCTGTGTGGAAAGGAAGAGTTGGATTGATTTAACGCATTCTTGGCGCGAGGTAAAAACAATTCCCACCGAAGAAGCGCGTGAAAGTGGAGAAATTTCGTTACCTTCGCGGTGAGCTCCCGGCGCAACTTCAAATCCGACAAGGAACAATGTAGGAGCAGGGGGCGCAGAAGCCTGGGCTCTTTCAGAACTCGATTTCAAGAGAAGCAGAACAGCAACGAACAAATGCAGAAGAGGAAAAGCAAACCGTAGGCAGGCAAAGGCTATTGATTGGCTCGAAGCTCCGTGCGTGCGTTTTAAATAAGGAAAAGCAAACCTAAATAAGGAAAGGCAAACCTAACCGCCTAAATTATTTTGTGCGGGTATTTGGTGTCCTTCCATTATTATTTTGTTTAGATATTCATGCCGGGTATTGTTGGAGAAATTATTTTGTGCGGAATCCGTATATATTCGAATTCCAATCACAGCTTGTCATATCAGTGGATGTATTTTGGGGATCAGTGCATCCAGTGACATGGTGCATGATTATTGGAATCCGAATGCATTCGAATTCCGCACACTATAATTTCTCGTATTGTTGGAACTTTTATTACGTCCTCTGACCGGGCGTAGCTCTACGTTCGGTCAAAGGATTGTTGCTCGATTTTTGCTCGGTAGTTGGTCGGTATTGCTATGTATTGTTTGGTAATAACGAGGAATACCGCTCTGTGAAGATCAATACCGAGTAATACCGAGCAATACTGAGTTTTTCTAGAAAAAACTCCGGTATTTTTTGGGATTACTGGGTATTGCTCGGTAATACTGGGTATTTGATCTTCACATAATGGCATTTCTTCTCGTTATTGTTGTTATTGCTCGGTATTTGCTCGGTATTTCTCGTTTTGTGCCTGCGATCTTAGTGCCGACCGAACGTAGCCCTACGTACATTCACCGGACCAAATAAAAGTTCGTATTGTTGGGTATCTAATGACATATGATTGATCTCCGGACTGTCTGGTGTCGGAATTGTCTGGTGTCGGAATGAAGGAGAGCCATAAACTGCTCTTCGTGTAGATGGAAACTAAAAATAGATATAAATTGATATCAACCATGCAATTACGTGTTTGGTTGCTCTAAAAAAGTTTATTTAAATGTGGTTAATAAGCAAACATTGTTTAAATAAATTGATGATTGTTTGATTATATTAAATTTTTAATGATAATGCAAACTTAAAATTTATATAAAATGATTAATATTTAAAAAAATAAAATGAGGATATAATAAAATTAAAATCTTATATTTTATTATGATAGATGAATTGAAAATTATTACAAGCTTATTAATCTATTTGTATTTTTTGATAATGTTACATTACAACTTAATTAGAAATCAAATCGAACATATCTTTTTCAATGTAAGACACCAGATAATCATCACTCATCCTACTATGCAATCAATATTTAAGAATCTTCATTGTAGAAAATGTTTTATTCACTGTAGTAGTAGCAACTATTAAAGTTAATATTAAAGTTACAAGTCTGTAAACTAAGGCTATGTTTGGGACGGCTTTTTATGGCTTCTTGAATTAGCTTTTTAGTGAAAAATTTTTAATTTTCATACTAAAAACTTGCTTCAAGAAGCAGTAAAAAAGTCGTCCCAAACGAAGCGTAAATGATACAAATCATTTTCTTATAGAAAGTTGCCATTTTATTGGATCTTAGCATTGAGTGTGTGTTCTTATTTAGTAATTTTGATTTGAAAGAATAGGCTTTAGTATTAATTATGTATGGAATTTAGATGATTGTAGAGGTCTCTGCACTATCATTAGGATCCATTTGACAATTCTTCATTTATTTTATTACTACCTGATTTGAGATGCAGTGTTTTTTTATAAGTTTTTTTTTTGTAAGTTTTATTTTTTTAAGTTCAAAAGTTTTTTTGATATGATGTGCTTAATAAGTATTTTATAAATAATTTATTTAGCTATTATTTAATTAAGTATTCTTGTTATAACCTGGAACAAACTTGGTCCAAGTATTTTCATGCCAAATGGATTGGAGCAATGCAGCTCATCTCTCTTGCATACGAGTCGGCCGAACAACCTTCCCAGCCATAAACATCTCTTCAATCACGAAAATCATGTGATTCATCCCGCCTTGTTTGATTTTTCCTGTATATAGCATCCCTCTCATGTCATTTAAACCTACCAGGGAACTTGGGGTGAATCCTCTTATTTCTATTATGCAGTAGCCATCAAACTCTCTTTTCTCCTCTTTCATTTCTTTCTCGTAATAGCAGCTCTCGGCGAACTCTTCTCAAACTCCTCTTCTTCTACAACATGTTTTCCCTCTCCTCTCTTTCCTTTGTTGTTCTTCTTTTTTGCCAAGGTATATAATAGATGCTCACTCTTTTGTAGAGTTTAAGTCAAAGGCGATGACTTGAGTTGATGGACTATGATTTGCAGATTAATGAACATCCAGGAAAAACTAATCTTGTGGCATATGCTTTAAACAATAACTCTTCATCTTATGCAGCATGGATGATCACTAAAGAGTGACAATTAGTGAATGACGTCCCAGACGAACTGCCCAATTTTCACCATTCTGAACAAACCTGTACCGATCGTCCCGGACGAACCTGGAGCAGAACTGATATTACAGCAACTCTGTTATTTATCGTATGTCTATTCAACCACTGATTGTTAAATAGATTCACAAAGATCAAATGGAAGACATGGAGTTGATGTAGATTAAAGAGAAAATTCATAATGGATTGAAGCCATATTTTACAATTAATTAGATGGGTGCCTTAAACTTTAAAGATCTACTATGTGTTTCAGATCATATTGAACTTTGAAAATAGATACTTCGGGAGGCGCACAGTACTTTATGTTGAATTCACCTAGGGAGCATAAAATTGTATCAAGATCTCAAGAAGTTGTTTTGGTGGCCTGGTATGAAGAATGATGTGGCAAAGTTTGTAGTCAAGTGTCTGACATATCAGATGATCAAGGAAGAAAATTAGAGACCTGGTGGTCTATTGCAACATCTTTCTATCCCAGAATGGTAGTGGAAGGAGATTGCTATATATTTTGTTGTTGGATTGCCGAGGTTAAAGCAAGGCTATGATGCAGTTTGAGTCATAGTTGATAGACTCATAAAGACAACTCACTTTATGCCGATAAAGAATAATTACTCAATAGAAAATCTAGCAATGATATATGTGGATAACAT